TCTATACTTTAAAACACCATATTACCGATTTCACGCACAAGTGCACATTTTCTTGGAAATTCTTCCTTTGCGAATCTTTTTGAAAACCTGTCTCGAAATGGCGCGCTGTTTTTTTTTCAGAAATTGCGCTGACCTTGGCATCAACGTTATTTCCTCAAAAACCAATTATTTTGTTTTTTCTAGGAAAATGTCCAGATGATTGCTCGTGCAAATTTGCGTCAGTTGGACACTGTCCTACGAATGTCCGGTGGACAAAAGGAGGATATTGAAGGTTTGCGTGAGCAATGGAAATTGCTCTCTGAGCAAGCCGCTTCGCCTATTCCACAACTGTTGAGTAAGGTTCGTGATTTTGCATGTCTCGATTTATCTCTGTAGGGTTTTGAGGAAAATTTTGGTTTTCCAGGTGGAATGTTTTGCAAATTCCTTGAGAGACTTGCATGAGACCTCATCCGCTTCATCTTTGAACGCGATGACAGACATAAAGTCAAAGGAAGATGTTCGACTAGCTCTCGAGGTGGTATCGCAAATCCAAGCTAAGCTCAGCAAGGAGAGGGACGAGTTGAGGTGAGCAGTTTTTGGACCAAAGCAGTCAATTACAATCAAATAATCAAAGACGCTAAGTTTGCGAAGTGACAGGGCTTCTATATTTTTTAATTTTTCTTTATCTATTTTAAGGCTCCATATCATTTGAGAGATCTATTGTCTCAGCTAGTCTAAGGGAAGTTCTATAAGCCTCACTTAATTCCTTACTTGTACTAATCATTTATATATATCGTTACTTCGCTATAAGATCTATAAGATTATTTAAGATTGGATTAATTAGTAGGGTTACCCCCTTTGCTTTGGGTAAACACAAATCTAACTCCTTTTCCTATTCGTTTTGTAAATTGTGGAACCGTAAATCCACGTGCCTAGTATGACCATTGAAATCTATATGTTTGTTTAGTATGGAGTGATTATTTGTTCAGTTTATACTTGACATAGTCATTAGATAGCAATGTGTTATTCTCAGTCTTCTCATTCTCAAAGGTCTGCCGTTTGAGCATTACT